ACAAATTAAGGAGGAAAGGAAAATAAAGGAACAATCACATACCTCAGCTATGCATTGCTTCAAATGCTTAGTAGAACCTTCTATATCATAGCAGTAATACAAACTCAGTGGGTTTTGCTCGTATCCCACACTAGGAGGTATGGTCAATAGAAAACTGTTACAACACCAAACAAATACTATTTACATTTCAAACATAGCCAAATATTATTGCAGCATTTACTTAAGTAACACAGAATTGAAATCTGCAAGATTACAGAAAATAAAATTGAAACCTCCATATCAAGCTTGAAAATCATGCTCAAATTCGTTGCATTCACGAGAGCACTTAAACAATTTTAAAACGATGTGTTGAATTCAAATACGAAGCAGTTAAAACAATAGACAAGAGTATAATTAATTGAGTAGAGCCGCACATGGGACCAGTATTTTGAGTCATCCAGCGAGCTTCATCAGCCCACACTAGGAGGTATAGTCAATAGAAAACTGTTGTAACACCAAACACACACAATTTACATTTCAAACATGGCCAAATATTGTCTCAGCATTTACTTAAATAAGTACTACCGAATTGAAATCTGCAAGATTACCGAAAATAAAATTGAAACCTCCAGAGCAAGCTTGAAAATTATACTCAAATTTGTTGCATTCACGAAAGTGATTAAACAATTTTAAAATGACCTGTTCAAAATTCAAATACAAAGCGGTTAAAACAATAGACAAGAGAATAATTAATAGAGTAGAGCTGTACACAGGGACCGGTGGTTCCGGCCATCCCGTGAGATTCATAGGCCCACACTAGAAGGTATGGTCAATAGAAAACTGTTGTAACACCAAACTCATACTATTTACATTTCAAACATAGCAAAATACTACGGCAGCATTGACTTAAATTAAGTAACACAGAATCCAAATCTGCAAGATTACAGAAAATAAAACTGAAATCTCCAGATCAAGCTTGAAAATCATGCTCAAATTCGTTGCATTCAGGAAAGCACTTAACAATTTTAACACGACGTTTTCAAAATTTAAAATACGAAGCGGTTAAAAGAACAGATAGGAGTACAATAAATTGAGTAGAGCCATACACGGGACCAGTGGTTCCGGCCATCCGGTGAGATTCATCGGCCCACACTAGAAGGTATGGTCAATAGAAAACTGTTGTAACACCAAACTCATACTATTTACATTTCAAACATAGCAAAATACTACGGCAGCGTTGACTTAAATTAAGTAACACAGAATCCAAATGTGCAAGATTACAGAAAATGAAACTGAAATCTCCAGATCAAGCTTGAAAGTCATGCTCAAATTCGTTGCATTCAGGAAAGCACTTAACAATTTTAACACGACGTTTTCAAAATTCAAAATACGAAGCAGTTAAAACAACAGACAAGAGTACAATAAATTGAGTAGAGCCGTACACGGGACCAGTAGTTCCGGCCATCCGGTGAGATTCATCGGCCCACACTAGAAGGTATGGTCAATAGAAAACTGTTGTAACACCAAACTCATACTATTTACATTTCAAACATACCAAAATATACGGCAGCATTGACTTAAATTAAGCAACCACAGAATCCAAAT